GTTTTACTTTTTTCGCTACCTATCTGGTTCCTCAAGGCATTTAAGTTTGCAGACCCTGCAGTGGAGCATTGTAACATCTATGTTCAACTAGATTATTCTTACATTACACTTGAGCATCCTAATGAAAAAGAAAAGCCCCTCAGGCCAGCCAGTGGCAAGATGGTTAAGATGGCTGGATCCCACGTGGCCAACTGCAGGGTTGGAGTCCCAGACCTGGTGGCTTGAAAAAAATGCAGGGCATATGTGTGTATACCCAAAATCCTGAAAGGAGGGAGAAATGGAGAAGGGACTGCAGTGAGAACATTCCCCTTGGGGAGTAGTTTTCTCACTTTCTCTCTCTGTCTCCCTGGCTGAGCTCATGCGCCCACTGGCAAAAATTAACAAGTGAAAACAAAACATAACAGAAAAACAAGCAAACAAAGAAAAAACTTTGAAGGAAAAAAGTATTCTACTCCGTGTTCGCCGATCATGTGTTCACAGAGCCGTAGTGGTTTATTGTCCTGGGCATGCATCTCCTGCTAATTTGAAAGCTGTTGACATTCTACATGAGCCCCCTATGCAGTACCAATTTCTCTTTTTTTTCTTTCTCATTTTTTTCCAAAAAAAAAAAAAAAAAAAAATCCAGCTGCTTCCTTGTCTTGAGATGTGAATTCCACATTTTGGCTGCACTGGATTCCAAGCTTTTCAAGAAAAGGCTGAAATGTATTAAGTTAGTTCACAATGTTCTTACAGAGAACTTTACTTTGCGGCGTGGTGCCATATGTGGTTGGGTTGTTTTAGGATAAATAATGTGGGAGAGTCAGTGTCGCATCATTGGCAGAGTTGGGAGCTGTGCCTGTGGCTTAAATAATGATCACATCTGACATATAGCCGTGGTTCATGGTGGGAGGGGATCAGGGTCAAGTGGAAGGTCAAGTCAGAGTTCCCATCTCGGTGCCATCTGTGGTGACTGTGCCTTGGTGTGGGTGCAGAGCCAGGCAGGTTCTCTGGGGAGCTGCAGAGCCCCCGCGAAGCCTGTGCTTGTTGGAGTGATTCCTCACCGTTGTCTCAGGATCTGGTTCTCCGTAGCTCCAAAGAGTAGAGAGTGAGCAACAGGCCAGATTGCAAATGGGCCTTTGCACGAGATTAAATATTAGCAGTGGGGTTGGTTTGGTTTGATTCTGTCGCCATTGATATTCACATTTTCTGTATTTTCACCTCTGAAGAAGAGAAATGAAATGAGAGGGCATCTTTTAAAAACAAAAACAGCTCTTTCTGAGACTGACTTGGAACATGCACAAGGTTCTTTATCTCTGTTTATGTGTGTGATGGGACTCCAGAAAGTTTGCAGAAAAATGGTACAAAAGAATCTTGAAATTTATGCATAGTTTTCTAATAATAAGCAGTTTCCACGAACTTTTTGAAGACCCCGCCCAATACCTCTGTACACACACGTAATAACACTCAGGTAAGAGCACATATATGGACACATACAATGCTAATTGCTGGCAGTAGGGGGCAGCCACTGCAGAATGCTGATTCTCAGAATTTTTAGATTTCATGAACCAGGACTACAGAAAATGGAAAGTAATTAGGGAGTCCAGCATGGACTACTAATTTCATTTTTTTTCAAGATCATTTAAAAAATTTTTAAAATGGTGGTAAAACACACATACCATTCTCCATCTTAACCACTGGTTAAGTAGTGGTACTTACATTCACACCGTGCAAGGGAAGATCATTTTGTACGAGAGCAAGACAGAGGGCCCCCCTCCTCCATATACTGTCCTCATTATTTCATAAAAGCAAGACTTTTTTTTGGTTTTGTTTTGTTTTGTTTAGTTTTTGTTATAGGGCACATATGCTTGTCAGAGAGAGAAAGAGAGAAAGAGAGAAATCATCCCCTTGGGGGAGGGGTGGCCATGCCACAGTCCCTTTTCCTCCATTCTCCTGTAGGGATTTTGGGCATGCACGCACATGTGCCCGGTGGGTTTTCAAGCTACCCCAAATGTGGAGTTTGCCAGGTGGGATCGAGCTGCCTTGATCTCCAGGCTGCCGGCTGGCTCAAGAAAGAGGATTTTAATGTGAAAAGAGAAAAAAGAAATAAAGACCGTAATCTTACATCTGAGGCATTTCTTCTTAATCTGTGAAGAGTAGTACCCAGAAAACTATTTGTCTGTGGGAAAATAATAGTACGGAGAAAAATATAGCTCTTTCTCAGATTTTAAACATGCTATATAACTTGTTGACATCTTTGTTCCTTTTCATTCCTACATAAAGTGCTGGTACGTGAACTGTTTGTTCCCAGGCCTGTGCAATAAAGCCTGTGCCAGAATGCATCAGCTATGGAACTAAACTCACAGTTACTAGGTGATACCTTCTCATAGCTAGACGTTGCCTACGACGGAAGCATGTGAAGGATAAGATTTTGGCATAAACATCTACCTCAGCAGTGGTCCAGGTGTCATATGCATTAGGTTGTCAGGAAAGTCATGACGTATTTTTTTCTTGTTTTTGTATGCAAGTAATATGCAGTTTCCATGACCCTGTAGTTCTTTTTATTTATTTATTTTGGAGAGATTTTTTTTTTGCTATAGGGCGCGTGCACTCGCCAGACAGAGAGAGACATAGAGACAGAAAGTGAGAAATCACCCCCCCCAGGGGGGATGGTCACGCCACAATCCTTCTCCTCCATTCTCCTCTCGGGATCTTGGGCATGCACGCACACGGTCCGGGCCGCGAACCCCGTTCGCCTACGTGGGATTCCAGCAACATAGCCATTACGCTAACTGCTGGTTCCCTGACCCAGTAGTTCTTGAACTGCCCTGGGCAGTAGCCCTGCTTAGATCTGGTTTGGTTCTGATGGAGGTAACAGCTGACAGGTGCATTTGAAACCCATGGGTATCCATTCCACTGTGATCCATTCTCCTCTTTCTGCTCCACTGACGTTGTTGGATAGTCTTCCTGTACCTTCTACCTACCATTTTTTTTTTTTCTTGAGAGAATTTTGCTATAGGGCTTGTGTGCTTGCTGGAGAGACAGAGAGAGACAGTGACAGAAAGTGAGAAATTACCCCCCCGGGGGTATGGCCTCGCCGCACTTTCTTCTCCATTCTCCTCTTGAGATCTTGGGTGGGCATGCACGTGCACACTCGCACGCACACACACACACACACACACACACACACCCAACATGAGTTTTAAGTCGCGGAGTCCAGGACTTGAATAGGAGTTGATTACATGGAAGTCACACAACGTAACCCTTAGACCATGTGCTGGTCCCACCTCCTACCTTTGTGTGTTAGCAATTGTACAGTGGTATTTTGTGTAAGTGGAATCCTACTGGATAGAGCCTTCTGAAAATTCGTTTTGCATAACATGATTTTAAAGACTTAACCATTTTGGTACAGGTAGATCTGCTTTACATATTGTTTTATGTGACCGTATCATATTTGTCTGCTCTCCTGTTTTTGACATTCGGGTTGTTTTTAGGTTTTTGCTAATAAAAGCAACACTAGAGTACATATTCCTTTGGTCTTTCTTTTGTCTGTCTTCTTTTTTTTAACATTCAGTCACTATGAGTGACTGGAAGGTGAACTGATGTTTTCATTCACAAAATCTAATCAGCATATTAATCAGGCTATCTGTTTAAGATAGCTTTTAAGATAACATGGTAAGTTGATCATTAGTAAGTTCGGTTTTCTGGACAAATTAAGAGCTGTTGATCATTCATTCTCTAGTCTGTTCATAAGAGCAGACATGCTCTGGCATATTGGGTGAAATGACTTTGTTGTTGGATGTGGGGGCAGGGACCATCAGGGATAGCTGGCTTTCCATTAGTTTTCCTTCTTTTTATGTGAACTAGAAAATGTTGATAGGGCCAGCAGGTGGCATGATGGTTAGGGTGCTGAACTTACATATGGTCATCCATGGTTCCAATCCTGGACCCCGTGGCTTGAAAATCATGTTAGGCATGTGTGCCCAAAATCCCAAGAGGAGAATGGAGGGGAAAGGATTGTGGCATGGCCAATCCTCCTTGGGAAGTGATTTCTCTCTTTCCC